GGCCTTTTCACAGAAGATATTTTGACTTGTTATAGTAGGAAAAGTTATTCTTGTCTTCTCTGTTCCTTTATCACACCTCTAATCTCTAATGTGGTTATTCATGGTCACAGGAGTATTGGCAGGCTGCAAAGGCACTAATCCTCATCTTGCTTAATGTCCTTTTGTTGCAATGATATTTATCAGGAAATTTACCCCAGTTCACTCTAGTAAAACGGTTAAGCTTAATGTACCATGCAGTGGCCTAATGTCTGCCTATTTCACGTCTCTATCCTTGTCTTACTTTTTCCAGGTTGGGCCTTGGCTATAACCATATCCGTAACATAGAGAACGGCAGTCTGTCTTACCTCCCCAGATTGAGAGAGCTACATCTGGACAACAACCGCCTCACTCGTGTTCCCAAAGGCCTCCCAGATATGAAATACCTACAGGTGAGTCTAACTTGCACACATTTTGTTTGCCATCTGAGACACAATGCTCTACTCACCCTCTCCGTCGCCACTCCTGCTTTCCAGGTGGTGTACCTCCATTCCAACAACATCAACCAGGTGGGTGTGGATGACTTCTGCCCTCGAGGGTTTGGGATGAAGAGGACATTCTATAACGGCATCAGCCTGTTTGCTAACCCTGTCAACTACTGGGAGGTGCAGCCTGCCACGTTCCGCTGTGTCAGCGACCGGCTGGCCATCCAGTTTGGCAACTACAAAAAGTAAAGAAAGGGGATACTGAGAGAGTGAGGGGAAGAGGATGGAGGAGGAGCAGATAATTTAATTAATAAAAAACTTGAGAGATAGAGGGAAAGGAGTGCATATTTGAGGTTATTATTATTATTATTATTATTATTATTATTATCATTATTGGAGAGAGGATGGAGATGATGGGCAATACATCGATTAAATAGAAAGAGAAGTGAAAAATACAATCACATAACTTGAAGGGAGTGGAAAGCAAAGCGCTTGCAGTACTTCACCTGAGTTTTCACATTTTTCAATTTAAGGTTTTGAAGGTTTTGCCATCTGAAATGGATGAGACTGTCTGAGAAGAGTGTTTTTCCCCAAGCCTAAATTGATGAAAAAATGAGTACTGAAAACTTGTGAAGCATTTCATTCCATTTTTTTTTACACAATAGTGCTTATTGTGATAGAAGTCATTTTTTGTTTTATTAACACTTCAAGATCATGATTAAATAGAAAAGCAATGCATTATAGATTTTTTTATATATACATAAAAAAGGTGCTCTGTATGACTTTCTGTGTGTGCTGATCTGGGAGATGCATCACATTTCACTGGTCCGAAGCCATTTGGCCCCGAACTCTGTGATTAAATTATACTGTATTAATAAAGAACTAGTCACAGATTTGGGGCTATTTCCCACCATTAACAGACACAAAAACAATTGCACAAAAAGTTGAAACTATTATTCAAGTTAACCAGTTCAACCTTTTTTGTATATATCATGGCAATTGATTGATAAAACGGCAACAGGTATTCATCATCATCATCTTTTTTAATTGATCTGAGGGACCTGAACCACCAGCCTGCCTGTGTAAGGAGTCTATTCTGTGCCTTTACTAATATTATGCTGTCTGTATGATACTTTAAAACAGTATTCCTTGAGGGGACACTGAGTCATTTAGAGAAAACACACATCTGCTTTGCTTTGAGACAATGAGGGCAGTGTGTTTATGTAGTGCTACAAACAATACTAGTGTTGATGCATTGTTTTGCACAGTTTTTCTGTTATGCTTTATCTGCTTCAGGGTTATTGGAGGCTTAGCCTGTTTATGTTGGTAGACCTATGTGGAACTACTCTAGCAATAAGTATTCTGTCCTGTCCCTGTTCTGTAATCTGACAAGCCACTGCTGCATGTGAATAAAGACATTTTTAGCCTGCTGCATAAAGCCAGAGAACAACTGATGCCCCTGGGTTGGATGCTGTGTGAGAAATAAAGAAGAAATATCACTTTGTGTAGAGAAAGTTTGAGTCCACACTTTATAATTTACAATGTATAATACAAACATATATAAACAAGTTCAGATTACATTCAATGTATGACAAAAACTAATCCTTTAAACTTTTGTAGGGGATTTAAGGAGGTGGAATTCTCCCAAATCCGGAATGGTAAACATAGTTGTTCATATAATTTTGATACTGTGGGCAGGGTGTCGTCAGGTACTTAAAATGCCTTAAAATGTCCTGAATTTTAAATCAATATCCTAATTTCAATAAGAGAATTTCATCTGATATCTTTAAAGGGAAAATAAAGTCAAAATAGTCCTTTTGTCAGGGTCAATATAGAATTCTTGCTTCTTCAACAGTGACTTATCTCGACTAGAAGCCTTTTTAATTTACGAAAATCATAAAAATGTGCTGGTGTTTTATTGATGTTCTGTGGTTTTTAGAGTTTTGTATGTGCTTTTGTGTCAGAATTGTTTTTAGCCACAACTACTTTACTACATCCCACGGTTATTGTGAGATTCCTTTGTCTCTGCTGTGCTGGATTCAAGCCCACAATTTCATGCTCTTTCCCACATCTCTTCTGTGTGGTGCTTTTGCACAAGACTATCTTCAACACAGATGAACACGCACGCGCGCGTGCACACACACACACACACACACACAGAGAGAAAAGAATGGCAGAGTGAAGGAGGAATCTGCAGAAAATTCTCCTTCATGAATCTGCACAGGAAAACAAAAACATGTTTTTTAAAAAAGTAGTCCCACTGCGAACATTTTCACACTGACAAAATGATATACATTCACATATCAACATGCAGACTAAAATAATGTAGATCATGTAGTCTGATATTGTAATAAGTCAGACTGCACATTAATCATCATAATTCTGATGAACATTGTGATTCAGCTGACGTTTAATATTATTAACTCCATAATTAGACCTTTTAAGCAGTTTTGTATTGGAGGTTGTGGGTCTAAATGGTGTTTCAAGTTTTTTGGAGTGCCAGGGTTACATTTTGTACATGTAAACATAATATCCTGGTTTCATAAACCTGGATAAGACCTAATCTAGGTTTTGAGAAACCTAGAAGCCAGGATACTGTAACATGTAAACACCTTATCCTGGTTTCTGTACATTTTCTGTGGGTACAAATGGTGAGACATCAAAACACACATGCAGGCAGACACTCAGAAACTTGGAAACTGTTATGATCATGTAGGATATACAGGGATATGAATTATGAATAATCAGGTTTTCATGTTCCATATCCCGAATATAGTATTAGTAGGATACTAGTGTGCATGTAAACGCACTCAATGTGGCAATAAACAGGTTTTTTGGCTGAGATGTGGCTGAGATGGTGAGATATTATGACACATCTGCACACAGATGATCAGAAACCTGGAATGTAAAAACCTTGATATTAGATCACATATAAACGCACTCAATATCTTAAAAAAATACATTTTGCTGTATAATGGCCGATCCAACATCCACACAAGCGTTTTTTTCCTTTTAAGTTAATATGGGTTAGTTTTAATCAGCGTTTACTGTGTGTGGTCAAGTTTTGGTTCGTTCATCAATCAGTGGCAAAACCATCATTTCATTTTCAAATATGCCGCTCGGCGCGTCACCGCCGTGCGCCCCAGCCCATCTGATTCAATGATACAGCGATGAGGCAGAGCGCACTTGGCCGTGTTGACACCGGACGGATATGCGGCGATGCTCTTGCGTGTGAAGGCGTTTGCAGCGGTCTCTAAGCAGCCACGGAGAGATTTCGCATCGGATGAGAGATTAGGAGGAGGAGAGGGAGGAAGAGCGACCAGCATCAGCAAAAAAAACCACAAACAAAACACCCGGTATCTTTTGGTCCATCGCGTCTGCTCCTCGGTGGCGGCGGCCCGTCGACACTCGGAGGAAGCCGGGGGCTGGATTTGAAACGTCGCAGGGATGTGCTGGTGAGTCGGCTGGTGCTGCAGAGCTTGCATGGAGCCTCTAATGAAAAAACAACTGCTGCGAATTAAGAAGCACTCCTTGTTGCAGGAGGATAAATCTTGTAGCCCGTGATCCTGTCGAATAAATGTAAACATTGGAGCTACATGATAGCCTGCACACACACACACACACACACACACAGGCCCTAACGATGGATGCTGATAGGCTAATCACCTGGATTGAAGGCTTTCTGCACTGATAACCATGGCGCTGTCCCTGCTCTACGCTGATCTATTTTTGAATGAATTTGAGTTTCCTGTCTGACAAAATTAAGCTCCAGTGGTGCATCCAGTCCATTGCAGTAGCACTGTTGGGGCTAACAGTGAACTGAGATGTTGGATTAATAGATCTGCAGGCATAAGCGTCTCTTCCATGCACGCCCCATGGAAATGTCAGTGCTGAAAATAAGCCCTTCTAAATAAAGAAGCAAACATGACATTTGTTTGTAGCTGCTTGTCATTCCCCATCTTATTTTTAGCTTACAGTAGACTACACAGTAGAACTGCTGCTGTGCTGCTACTCATTCAACTCTTTTTTTTAATAACAGAAAGTTTGAGGATGAAAGGAGGAAGAGGAGGAGAGATGTGGAGTGAGCCCTTCCTGGCCCAGGACAGGTTTTAGTTAGGCCCTTGCAAATCCAGGTAACCTACATTTAGACTGAAGTAATGCAATAATAATAATAAGCAATAAATGTAATAAACTAACTTTCTTCTTCCTTCTCAGTGACGTCTGTGGTCAGGAGGTGATGGCAGTGCTGACTGAGCTTCACCACCACTGCTACCCCTTCCTACAGATGGACGCCCCCCTCCTGTACGCCTGAGTCTGCACTCAGTGCTGCCTCCTTCCCCTCCTCTCCTTTTGCTTCTCCTTGCTCATTTCCCACCTCTTCCTCCACTCTCCTCATCCAGCTGCCCGCTTTCTTCCTCCCCCACACATCTCTCCCTCCCATCCATTTCCCCCACATTGAATTTCACTGTACCTCTACAATCTCACGTTATTATGGCGTGCTTTGGGCGCTCTCTGGACTCCCCGTGTACACTAGCCCTGCTGGTGGGCTTCCAGTTTGCCTTTGTTCTCTATTTCTCCCTCGGGGGCTTCAGAGGCCTGGTGTCTGTCCTGGTGCACACCACAGAGCCGGAGTTTGATTACTCCCGACCTCATGACGTCTATACCAACCTCAGTCATCTGGGAGTTCCGCCTCCCCCGCCTCGCAACTCTGGCACTGGACCCCCTGCCACGGGACCGCCGCTGAGAGACTGCCAGATCCCCTCCCCACTGCTGGGTGAGAGAGTCAGAGGGGTTAAATGTGTGCTGTTACAGTAAAATGCTCTTTGAACAGCTGTGTGGAATTTTGCTAAGCTGTTGGTCAGACAATCAATCAATTTCCATTTCTTTCCTCCAGTCGGACCTGTGTCTGTCCATCTTTCCTCTCCTCTGTCTCTGGAGGAGATCCGACAGAGGAATCCGTTGGTGTTGCCGGGTGGACGCTACCGACCTCCAGACTGTGAACCCCGCCACCACACAGCGATAGTGGTACCGTATCGGAACCGGCAGACTCATCTCCGTGCCCTCCTCTACCACCTTCACCCCTTCTTGCAAAGACAACAGATCCACTACAGCATCTATATAGTACAGCAGGTTAGGTTATGAGTGTAATACTGCTGTGTTACATGTGTATATATTCCAAGGATAATAGTAGCATTATGTAATAATAATGGTGTTACTGCTGTAACAATACCAGTCTAACACTGTTATGGTAAATTACCAGTGTATTACTACTTTATATTATTACATAATACTCATGTATTATCAGTATATTAATATTGTAATATTTGGGTACAACTAATGTAATATTTGTTTGGTGTATTTCATGTATATATATAACCAGTCTATCATTGTGTAATGCTGGTATATTACTGTATAATAGTGGCTGTAACAGCTTTGTATTATTGGTGTACAGCATAACCAGATATACTGGTTTAATACTGTTATACAGAATATAATAATGAAGTGAGGTAAACATCTGATTTAAAGGGTCAGTTCACCCAAATAAATGTTTATGTTGACATAACAACATAAACATGTTGTTATGTTTATGTTTGTTACCTTAGAATGAGCCATTTTTTCTACGGTAGCCCAAATGGACTATCTAAACACTGGCAGTAGAAAAGACCTGTTTGGGTTTTTTCGCGCACTTCGTCTCCACCATAGGTTCTCCTCTGCGCATGGAAGGGGAGGGTGAAGCGAGGAATTTGCAATCTGTAACTACGCCGCTAGATGCCACTAACTCCTACACACTGGACCTCTAACATCTGTCTCTGTTTCTAACTTCAGTGGGGGAACGGTACTTTTAACCGAGCCAAGCTGCTGAACGTTGGGGTGCGGGAGGCCCTCAGAGATGAAGACTGGAGCTGCATCTTCCTGCATGATGTTGACCTGCTGCCTGAGAATGACCACAACACCTACACCTGCCACAAGCAGTTCCCCACACACCTGTCTGTGGCCATGGACAAGTTCAGATACAGGTAGAAGCACGGTGTGTATGTGTGCGTGGATGGACGTATTGTGCTGAGGCATTATTTTTAAGATTGCACGCTGGCGATTTCACCCTCCCAGGCTGCCGTACCCACAGTATTTTGGTGGAGTGTCTGCAGTGACCCCGGACCAGTACATGAAGATGAATGGCTTTCCTAACCAGTACTGGGGTTGGGGCGGAGAGGACGATGACATTGCTGCCAGGTAAGGAGGGTGAATGGCGCAGAGGTCCACATCCTGCGTGTCAGCATGTGAGATATACATGTGTTCAGCATCCAAACTACATGCACGCCCATTTCAGCATCTTGGCTACTTCTTCTTCTCCTTTATCATCTTTTTTTTACTGATTCATCTTTTTTCTCGTGTTTACAGTTTCGGTACCACGTTTTCCTTTTCTTTGACTTTTATTTTATGCGTCCTAACATCATCTTTCATCTTTCATCTTCACGTCCCCTCCCACTGCTGTGGCTTTGCTGTGTATCTCTTGGAGTGGGCTCAGTGAGTATGTTTGCATGGACTAGATCACAGCTGTGGGCTGGACTGCGTGCTTAAGAGTTTTCAGGCAGTTTTCAGGCCCATCACATTCTGTGCTGCGGTCCTCTCTCTCCACTCTCTGACACTTCTAGCATTTGCCAATCTGTTGTGAGAGAAACTGAATGGAACAAGAAAAAGCTTGCACTAATTATTACAGGAGGCAAAACTACAAGAATATTTATTCCCTATGTTCTGTAACACTGACTTTTGTGCATGTTGCAACCTAAAATATATCATATACTAAACTACATTTGTCACATTATGTTTTGATTGACTTAGATAAGGGTGGTACAGAAGCATCAGAGATGGAAAAAGGGAACCACAGTGGGTTTTTTTTTACCACCTATGAGCCATAAAGGTGTGTTATTCTCATACATCACCTATAATTCAGTTTGTTTTCTTTCTTTTTATGGTTTTAAATTAATCCCTTAGAGGCTAGATCTACTCAGATTGAGGATTGCTGTTGTTTTAAGATGTAGAAAATAAAATGGATAGTAAAGTGCCAGGCTTTTTTGATCTAATATTATCCTCTGAGTTTAGTTTTCCAGTTAAATGCCTGAGAATGAGAATCTGCTGTTCCTGTTGACTCCTGTTGTGTGCTGCCTATCCAGAGTACGTCTGTCTGGCATGAAGATCATGCGCCCTCCAGTGGCCATTGGTCATTACAAGATGATCAAGCATAAAGGAGACAGAGGCAATGAGCAAAACCCACGCAGGTACAGATAGACACACTCTCAAACACACGAAAATGATGTAGGGACATTTTTCACGCTTTCCAATATAATTTTGTGGGGATATATTTTTAAATGATACAGTATTTTCACACATTAACACTCACTTTGTACCACTAACATTTCCATTGCTGGGGACAAGCATCAGAATTATGTTGTTTTCCCCTTTTTGCCCCAACCTGTCCTGTAATAATGGCTGTTTCTCTTCATACTTTTTTGTGTGGTGTTGGCATTTTCTTCTGCTTGACCTGCCGAGCCAACGATTTCTACTCCCTCTGGCAACATGCTCATTTGTTTTTATTAGAAAAACACTCTTTTCCCATCCGTGATGCTTCGGAAACATATTTTTGATTATAAAAACAAGCGGCTGCAAATCCGCTGCAGCACCACGAGTCACATTTATTCACATTATTAACTTTTACGGAGAGGTCTTTTTCACTTGGTATCGTTAAAGGAATAATTTGACATTTCTTTCTTGCAGAGAATCAGATGAGAAGATCAATGCTACATATCTGTCTGTTAGCTTAGCTTAGTAAGAGACTGGAAACAGGTGGAAACAGCTAACCTGGCTCTGTCAAAAGGTAACAAAAGACCCGTCTACCAGCACCTCTAGAGCTCAGTAATTCACACTATCTGAAAATAAGTATAAAAGTGCTAAAGTGTAAAAATTACATTGCTTTTACAGGGGTTATGTGCTGGGATTATTTATCTCTGGGCACAGTGACTTTAAAACTCCAGGACAAAGCCAGGCTAGCTGTTTCCACCTGCCTCCAGTCTTTATGCTAAGCTAAGCTAACAGTTTCCTAGCCTCATATTTTGACACACACACAGTGATATTATGTTTGTCGTTCTAGATTCGACCTTCTGAAGAGGACCAGACTCAACTGGCGCTCTGACGGCCTCAACTCTCTGACCTACGATCTCCTTTCTAAAGAGCTGGAGCCTCTTTACACCAACCTCACCGTCAACATTGGAGAAGACCCCCGTCTGCCCCCGGGGAAAGCACCCATCCCCTTGAAAACAACAACCCCTGTCCACAACCACAGCACCAGCAAGACCGGAGGCCCAGCCAAACAGGAGAAGGGGCAAGAGAGCAAAGGGCCTGTGGCTGCAAATTTGACTGTGGTGAAGCCAGTTGGTGAAAAGACAGAACCTGACCAGTCAAAGGCAGCGAATCAGACAACACAGAAGAAGACAGCTGTGATGAAATAGGATGAGGTCTATGATAAAAAGACTGCATCACATCTGTAGCATAAAGTGGCTTCTACCTTTGTTTTGATCTGAAAGACAAAATGAAGGAAAGCAGCGTAGTTGTGGGACATAAAGTGCTCAGTGCAGGTTAGGGACAGTTATGCAATAGATCCAATGAAGAAGCCACTTTTGTCTACAGGGGTGCATTCAGGAACACGACTGAGTCACCTCTTGGTTTGTCATCTGCTGAATGTGACTCTGGCTCTAGTCACAGACAACAAGTCTGGGGTCCGGTTCATGACCAGTTTGGGGCCAGGAGAAGAATGAAGGACTCAGTCATACCCACATAGAGGTCCAAAACATCTAAATGAAAATGAGACAGCAAATATATAAATCTCTGCTCTTTTCCAGACATCGCAAGTTGTAAGCAACCCATCTGCTGCCAGCACACCTGCAGCTTCATCCAGTTTGCTCCCAAAAAACTGCTGCTGTCAGTCCACCCCACTGCACGGTGGGTTTGTGTTTCTGTGCCTTCTCTCTTTTATGCGCATTTTATAGACTGGTATAGCTGGTATAGTTGCTTCTAGACGCTGACCTGGGGTTCATTTTACTTCTCCTGCGTCGCAGCAAGTATTAGAAAGCAGGGAGGTTAAAGTTGATCCGAGATCAGAACAAAAGATTTGTTCCAGGACTGCCGTTTTATATTTGTGTGCATTGATCAAGCGCTGACCGGCTCCATAGTTATCAGACAATTTTAGAGTTTATATTTATATAGAGAGACTTCTTTATTTGTTTACTGGTTTGTTTTACGCGTCCTTCCTTACAGTCTGGTGCCTCTCTCTCTGTGACATTTTGTTTCTAGACAATCAAATCATATGGGAAGATAACTCTGTATCCAAACACATAACAAAGTGAGGAAATATTATCATGACTATCTTTACACCTGTCAGATAAACATAGACTTGGCATGATAGTTGTTGTCTAGTTCGACTATACTCTCAATACATGGATAGACCTGTGCTTCTGATATTATCTGTGATTTTATTATTTTTCTTTTGGATTAGTCAGGTATGGGAAAAAAGCAAACTTGCAGACAATATTGTAGGCACGTGACTACACATTTGCCAGTTTCAGATTGTGTTTTAATAATAAAAAAGGTCATAGTCACGATAAAGCACTGTGTATAGATCTAGGTCAGCTTTTTACTAGAAGGCCTGTGCTTTCTGTGTATTATGAAAGACCCCGGTGCATCTAAAAGCTATAAGAATGTCTGCCTCTCCTTGTCTGTCATTCGCTAGAATGAAGCTTTTGTGTCTTGAAGGAAAGCAGACAAGAAAGAAGGAAACGCGCATATTAGACCGAAAATGATTTAATTTTATTCTGAGGGCTGCCAAATTAACACATGCATGTGGGTAATTTGTGTTGACAGATCAATTTATCACCTACTTTTATGATCTAAAAGTGACTTCATTTTTTTCCCCCCATATCAGCCATTTGGAATGTATTATTTTGAGTTTTCATCCTAGTTTTTGTGAAGGGAGAGTTTATCAGGTGAGCTTTTTTTGTGGACAGGGATTCGAATCTGATCACTCGTAGGGCATAAGATTTCTTGCTGCTATTTGACTAGGGAAACGGTTAACTGTATAATTAATCTTCTTGAAGAATGACATACTGTAACACTACTTTTCTGGTGTGGAATTGTGTTTTATCATACTAACAGGTAATGTATTATGTATGCTAATTTGAATGTATTTAATTTATTATTTATTTATTGAGTCACTGATAGAGCTAAGTGCGTATGTGTTTCTCCACTGTAGAGCAGATTATTATCCCTTTATACTATATCTCCATGTTTCTTATGTTAACATCGTGCCTCATGAAATAAGCCCATATTACTGGAGGAAAGAAGGCATACCTCTGGGTTATATGTGAGCGCCCTCAAGTGGCACAGTCTGGCATAGCGCCAGCCAAGAACGATCCAAGGACTGAATGAAACTGCAGTGTTGTGACATGAATGTTAATCATTAATGTTGGCCATTCACAGGTTTCAGCCAATCAAATCTTTGCATTGCTCTGTGTGGAGGGTTTTTCGTTTGCGTAGTGTCACATGATTGATCCTGCAAGCTTAAAGGTGTAGAACAATTTTACTTGTCAATAGAACCAAAAACTACACGGTGAGTGTTTTATGAATGGATATAGTTTTATAGAAGGAGTCTGCGTTTATTTATGATAAAATATTAACTGTTTCAAACAAAGAGTGCTGTACACACAGATTGTCTTGACAGAGTTCACTGAGAAATTAGGCATAGTTTCTTCTTTATACTACATAATAATTTAGTTGCATATGAATAGATAATATATCCTCCATGTATCGTATTGCCTGGGACAACGCCTGTATGACATGAAGCAGTGACAAACTGAAAGCTTTTAAGGATGTTATGTAATCTCAGCAGATTAATCAGCAAACTGTGTGCTTACCTGGAGATTGTTCTATATTTAATAAATAGGCTAGTTTTTATAAAGGATGTTTTTCGCATAAATGTTGGAAATATATACTGTGTAGTTGAATGCAAATTCAGTAAACAGGATTGGAACTTCTTAGTAAAATTTTTTTATTTAAAGAAGTCATTTGATCATGATTTTATCCTTATTAAACACGATTGAGAAATATTTGTGACTGCCAAGAACCACCTCACTAGAAAGATAGGATGTTTATGTGTCGGTAAATGAGACGTAATTAATACATTACATCACTTATAATGAAAGGGCCATGATATTTGTATCATGCGATGATACCTGTTGTCATCATATGTTGCCTCATTGGTCTTGAAGATGAAAAATTGTGTGTGTGTTCGTGTGTGTGTAGAGAGCAAGGTCATCAAAAAAAGGCAACAGATGCAGTAAACTATGATGGACAGTGTTGTGACAGAAAGCAAATACGTATATCTACCAATAAAAACACATAATCATAAAATGTCTCTTTCCACATTTTCTATCATGACCAGCCTTACCATACACATTTATGCAATGACATGAATGTGGAGCAACACATATTTGAATACACACTGTACTATAAATACTTACAGCGATGCACTTACTCCCCCACAACACTCGAGGCCTCTTAATGAATACAGGCTTTAGCATTTTGATTAATGCTGCCACAGCTTTAACGCTGTAGAGATCAGATGCTCATGCTAGCTGGTAGATTAGCAGCCATATATCATCATCAACACATGCTGTAGAGAAATCTAAAACTGCACTAACCTGTTACATCACCCCGTGTATTGCAGGCCCCAGAGTTCTATGTGGGCATAAAGAGCAGGATTAAAAAGTTGGATATGAGATCATACCTATAAATAGACAGTGACCCCCAGCTTTGTACGTTCGATCTGTTTCGTAATCTAAAATGCTGTATGACTCACCAAGAGAGGGCAAAACACAATCTCGTGAACTGGGTGAACAAAAAAGAGCACCTTACAACCGATCTCAGTGCAACGCCAACACACACTACAGCCTCAAAATAGGACCATAGAGATGAAATAACACCCCTGGTAGACTCTGCAAGCTTCACAAATGTAGTATACTGTTCACACTGTTGGTCAATTGCAGCTGATAATACTAACACATTTTCCTGTTATTTTGCATACAATTTCTTCAAGAAAATACATTGCTTAAAGATAGATTATGTAACTTGAGTTGAACAGCAACCATCGTGGCCACAGGTGACAATGATGGGATAATAGTCTCACTTTAACTAATAGCTGAATGATTGTTAACATGTTCTTAAACATCATGTAATAAGAGACAAAAGTTTAATAACATGGTAATCGTGACATAAACTGTCTATACTAACCACCACCCACCCATACTGAAGTGTATCCAGCATGTAGTGTTGGACCTAATGTAATAAGACATCATAGTTTAATATCTTCTTTTAAAGTCATCACACCTGGACGTCTTTCTGTAGTTGTTCTGTGATGCTGTCACTCTGTGACGGCAGCAGTGACAGTCTAATTTGCACTTTCCCTCCAGTAGACTGACACACTGGCCTTCTGAAGTGACCGTGGCAGGCAGACGCAGAGGGCTGAGACAGCCTTTAGTCACCTCCTGTTACTGTATGGCCTAGGAGACACAGCTGACCTCTCATGGCCTCGGGAATACTTTAGTGCTCTGAGCTCACACACACACACACACACACACACACACACACACAGAGAGAGAGAGAGAGAGAGAGAATTATATACTGTATATATAAACA